CATGTTTACTCTATAATTTACAACTTTCTCATATCACATTATCATAGTTCATTATTATTACATCAATAAGAAATATAAAATAAATAACATAGAGCTAGTGCGTTTATACGATATTATCTGAGCTTGGGTGAGAAAATTAATGTGATACTAAAAACATCATTAATTTCGTTAACGGTGACAAACAATAAAACTGATCTCATGACCTGCAGGAAATAGTTCAGATTTGTATGGGTATTTTTCAATAAAACGCACAATTCACAGCATATTATTATTATTATTTATTACTATCCAGAATGGATTAAAATTAAACATCTACAGATATTTTTTGACATAGTTATATACACAATGTTATTATTATATAATTATAAACAATGCAACTAGATATATATATCACTATATATTTATATTACACTTAACATTTTGTAAAGTATACAGATATTGTTTCATGGATACTAGAATTTGTGCTAACCCACAATATCTATCTCCGTTTTTTTTTTTTTACATTTTCAAAACAGCTTAGTTGAAGAAGCAAATATTTTTTTCTTCGAACCAATTTCAATGATTTAGTTACATGATATAAAACCAATTTGGTGATACATCAAAACATCCTATTTCCATTTAAATTTTTTTCTTATGAACCACTATTTTTATTCGGAATGACTAGAAAAATTGTTTAAGGGACGGAGCATTAACGAAGTGATAAAAAGCACTTACTCACCCTTACGAAGCACTAATGTACGTTCAAGGGACAGGGACCAGAATTTAAAATGGTATTATTGTCATCTGAAARGATCACGTCACCAATAAATTTATTTAAATGTGGTTTAATTGTCATCTTGGTGGTCTTATTAGTTATTGTCACCTGTGGTCAAGGTTGGGATAATTAATTAAAATGAATAACTGTGACAAGTTAGGTTACCTAATTCAATTAAATTGCCTTCAGTTAAAAGTTATGAGTTAAAAAAAATAATTAATTCAATAAGTTWAAARATATGAAGAAAATAAAATAAACTTAATTAATTAAAAAAAAAAGATAAGGCAAGTTTAATTTTTTTCAAGCTACAATATTTTTTAGGTCATAAAGTGTCTTAGTATTTTGGTTTACACGTACATTTACCAAAACGTTTAACATTGTTCAAACATCAGATTACAGTAGATATTCAATCAACCGTCCCTCTCTATTATCCACCATTTTCGAGCAAAAACTTTTCTTTTACTTTCGTAAAATTCATTACATTCGGTGGCATAAAATCTTGATGGGAAAGGTGGGCAATTTTTTTAAACTTGTCCAATAGTTTAAATTTGAAATCGAACAAATTTTTCGATTGAAATCGGGTACTCTGGTCCTCGTATGAATAGAGCTCAGATTTCAATGCATTTGCATCTTTTTTTCGAATGTCTTACATGATGCTTTTCAAGCTATAAATTAAAATTTTTAAGAACTAAGTAAAAAAAAAAATTGAAATAATAGATTTTGGGCAGCCACAGAGCATTTAATGATATCAATCAGTATTTTTCTGCTGTAAAGAGATTTCCGTCTAACAGGGTGTCCGTTATAAGGAGTATTTATTAAACAAAATATCTTATATCAGAATGTAATACTAAATTATTTTATTTTTATGTC